CTTGCCAGTGTGTTGTAATGGCACTGAATGTAAGCTGTTTCAAGACCAGACGTGACCAAAACTGGAGCAAGTTCAGATACATTCAGAAGCCAGTGCATGTTTAGTACAGTACTTGACAAAAGTGAGTAAAAAGAGACGTGACTTACCGCCCAAGCGGCTAACAGGAGATTCAGTGGCGAAGAGTATAAAAGTAAAAGACAATATGTACAGCATACTACTGTGTATCTGCATTTTCTATATACAGTAGTACCCCGCTTAACGCGGTCAATTGAACCCACAGGGTACCGCGTTAAGTGAACAACAGAACATATGGGATTAATTCCAATAGAGACTGGCCCGACCCCCAAACTCCACTTTTTGACGACACACAACTATGTTGTAGTAAAAATTTTATCTTAACTTTATGATGGTATGCACACACAATTAATAATTAAGAGAAATATCAATAATATTAGGTTTTTTAACACTTGCATTAGTAGAAAAGATGGCTGGGCACACGGGGATGGGGGGTTGGTTCCGAGGCAGAGGGCAGATTATTGGCCCTCACCTGTATCACTTGTATCAATTGTATCACTATCCACCACAGAGGCTTGCAGGGCCTCTTTGTCAAACCCCTCAAAGGCCATATAAGTCCATATCCTCACTATAATTATCACTATCACTGACTTGGGCCGGCTGTGGTGGGTGGCGGGTGAAGAACTCGGTAATGTTTTGATGACTGAGCGACCTTGTGCGCATCGTGCCCGCGCTGCTTCCCGCGTATATGATGAAAAATTCCTCGTTAAGTGAAAGTTCAGCTCTGGCGAGGCACCGCGTATATGATAAAACGCGTTAAGTGAAACCGCGTTAGGCGGGGTAATACTGTACAGTACAGTATATTCTGAATCATGTTGTTATGCTGAAGCATAATTTGGTATTACTGAACTAGGCATTCTGATTATTTTCTACTCTAAGCAGCAGTTATTACTTATGTAAGAATTTTCTAGAATGTATTTCATCATTTTTGTTATGATTTACTTACGTATTGTAAGCCTAGACCATTCTGTAACTCTCCAGGAGTATCTCGTTCTGATCTGCAATGCCTGGGTGTCGCTAGAATGCTCTAGGCATCTGACGAGACGTATATAAACACCAGCGAGTGACTAGGCGTAGTCAGTTGACAGTTTCTGTTCAGTGTATGAAGTATGTACAATCTTAGTAACAGCTAAAGACAATTGCTGTTCAAGTATTGTGGAATTGTTGTGAGCGATATAAAGTGAAAATACTAAGGAATTGTACACTGGTAGTGTGCTGACTGTATATATATCTGAAGTCAGAAGCCCAGTTGTGAAGTATACCCTGTGAACTGTTTTGTGAAGATGTAGTGTTTATTAATGAGGACTACAGTTCACAAGTGTGTTTCTGTGACCTGGTGGAAATCTACCTACCTATTGCTTGTCTGTACACTGATACCGATTATCGGGAAATTACCGGAGACTGGCGGGACAGCCAGTGGTAATTCGACAACACTTGTGATATATCTACTGCTTCTGTATTTATGAGCTAGCCACTGGTAACCGGCAATGGAAGCTGGTAAATGGCGAAAGGGTTTCGTAACAAAATGTGAACTTATATGATGATTTTTCTGAATAAATATCAATCTATCTGTCTAATGAACCTATAGTAATCAAATAGTAATATGTTCAAAAGAACTCAATAATCTAATAGATTTAGTAACATAGGGTTACTATATTTAAACTTAAAAAAAGGTAATTACTGATGACATACCATTTGCCGATTTTCAAAGAAATTTTTTTTAATAAAACCGCAATTTTGCCTGTGGTTCCATTTCTGGCCAATAGTGGCATTGTGTGCATCCTTCATGTTGGCCAAAGACACTGGGTGCTACCATTACAGTGCCCTTAACAAGGAAAAAATAGTTTTAAGTGTAATCTTAAGGAACTTAACAAGATTGAAAATAAGAGTACTGTATGGCTCGGGTGATGAGGACATCTCGGCAATCTCTTTCTCTGACAATGATGTAGTCAATGAGATGCCAGTGTTTGGATTGTGGATGTTAACACGAACCCTTGAACTTGTAGGCTTGCCTAAAAAAGGTATTGGTGATAGTGAGGGTGTGTACAGCACACTTGCGGAGGAGGAGTAGGCCGTTGGGATTACACTTGCCTAGTTCATTTGTCGCCATGATTCCCTGTCAAATGTCAGCATCTCTGCCATTGAAGTCACCAAGGAGCACAACCTTATCTTCTCTGGGGATAGAGGTTAACACTCTGTCAAGGTCGGCATAAAAGGCCTCCTTGATGTCATCCTCTGCATCCAGTGTTAGGACGTATGCACTGATGAAGAAAGCATGACGTGAGTGATTCAGTGGGACTTGGAGTGTCATGAGGTGCTCGTTGATCCCAATAGGCATCAAAGTTAACTTTCATAACAATGCATGGAACAATAGGGTTAGACTCTCCCATTTTTAATACATTTTGTTGTCTTGTTTCTGATTATTTGTGAGTTTTCTCCGATTATTATTTATTTGTATGAGTTTTGTGTGTGTCTACACACACACACACACACATTTATACAATACAGGCAAAATAAATAATTGTCCTAAGGGCAAACACAAAGGGAATATACATTTCTTTGCACACAAGTAAAAATGTAACCCCTCCCCCGATCAGGAAATGTTATTCGTGGATGTGGTTATTTGCAGCCATTTTGAGAACCTGACCCCCGTGAATTTTAAGGGCATGTATCATCAACAAATCTAGAAAAGGCACAAGATAAAATAGATAGAATAAAACTGTGGAAGTATTAAACCTATACATATGGGGTAAATGGGATATTGTTAAATTCTATCCAATTTTTATAGGAGAGTGAAGCATGTGGTAGGAATTGTTAGGAAGAGAGAAACTGGTTCCCAGAGAAGTTAGGACACATTATACTTCACTGATGTATCCGTTATGTGTAATGTTGCTGTAGTTTTTCAAAAATTGACAATCTGACGTTTTAAGATACGTATCAGCAATTTTCAGGAATTTATAGTCCTGTGAGGACTTGGGAAATTTATTTTTTCAACCCTAGCTCTCACAAGGTTTGAGTAAGCTATGGGTGTAAGACGTTCAAAATACCAATCGACGAAGAATAAAAAATAGAAAATGGGAAACCCTTATCTCAAATTCGCACATCTGGCACTTACTCTTTCGGTGAAGCCTCAATTCATGGATGGGTTAGTATGAGATGTGAAAATAAGAATACTAATGGAGGGTTGCAACCATAATAAATAAAAATACCTGTATACTGTAAGCTGCAAGTGGGAGGTAATTCAATTGACATTTAAAGATGGCACTTTTCTAGAGGATGGTTAGGGGTAAAAAGTTAAAAATGTTGCTACAGTAAATAAGTTTTGAAGAATATGTACAGTACTAGGAAAGAGGTAACAATGAAAGTGATCAAAATTTATGAAAATAAGTAGGGAACAGAGACAAGGTGAAATGACTATCATGTTGAAAGGAAATTAGAATGGAGGAAGTGAAGTATTTCAGAAATACTGGAAGGAAAATTTGAAAATGGAATAATCAGTGATGAACTGGATCATGTGGAAAGTAATAGTTGCATTGAAAAATGTATTGAGAGAAAGGTAAAGATGGGATGTACACTCGCAACAAAAAGTATTGGTGCATACTGTAGTATGAGCAATTTGAGACCAGTGACGATAGGTGTTGGGAAAGGCGAGTTGTTCCAGCCGTATGTTGGCAGCCCTGTAATCCTGCTGAGCAGCTACTATGGCCTGGTCAAGTGAAACAAACCGTTATAAATAAGGTCGGGAAGTGATAAATAGACAGTATGAAATATGACGAGCTCCGTGTTAACAAAATTATTTGTGATACTTGTGAATATTGCCACATTAATTTATGCTACCAAATAAACCACTCAACCTGGTCGTCCTGAGGGGTGGTGCAGCGTGGACGGCCGCTCCAAGACCTGTCGTCTGTAGCACCAGTTTCAAGGTACTGTATCGCCAATTCATCGTGCAGCGGTGTTCCTGTGGACACCAACCCGCCGGCTAATACCTGTGACGCCGAACCCTTCGTTATGAAGGGCAATAATAGCTCCTCGTGTTCCCTCTGAGATTTCCATGTCGTCTGGCATGTGTAGATCTCTAATGCTTCATATTGCCTCCGTTTTATACCCACGTTCACCGAGACCGAACCCTCGCTCATCATTCAGTCGACACAAAGCAACAATCCGAAAAGAGGAAAACAAACACACTGATTGTCAGCCATATGGCAATACCTAGTGGGGGGGGGGGTTATGAGGATACACTTACCAACCTTCCCGACATATCACAGTGTATATGTATCGTTTCGGAAGTCGTCGATCACACCCTGCACCGATACTTTTTGGTGCGAGTGTACAACATACAAGGGAATTGTTGAGCTGACCATATTATGTGAGTGTGAAATATGGACTTTGAACGTAAATGGAAGGAGCAATTCAGAAATTACAGAAATAAGATGCTTGAGAGGAATATGGAGAGTAGTTATGAGGCAGAGAATAATGAATGCAGAAATAAGGTGATGTGAAAGTGAAATAGATGTTGGGCAGAGAAAGGATCGGGAAATCTTCACCTAGTTTAGAAATATTGAGAATATGGGATGTGGTAGAGTGGTAATTCAGAAATGGATTGTAGGAATGAGTATTGAGAGGAATAGACATTCAGGAGGCAGCAGTGTGTATGGCTTTGGGCAATTTTGGGGGAAAGACATGCTGTTAGGTTGTGTGCAGTGATAGGGGTAAACCAGATGGATGTTGGGGCCTTGTTGTGGAAGAGGAGTACCCTAGCAAAGCATCTCTACTGCAGCAGTGTGTACAAATAAATGACAGCAAACAAAGAACATATGTATTTGCCATCGATTCTGGAAACTGCATCACAGCACAAAAGCGCTTGAAATATTAAAACAAAAACAATTCTTTATAAAGTGAAAATAATTTAATAAAAAGCTGACTATTTTCCTGGGCCATGTATATTTGGTAGTTCCATCATACTGTAATTACTTAACATGTTTTAGCTTCATGACACAGGGTAAGCTAGATATGAGCTTTGGAAACTCTTAAGTAACACAATATTATTCCTGTACTGTGACCCAGACTTTGTCCTACTTCTGACTAAAATCTTATCCCTTTGTACCAGGTTGTTAACATTAAAGTGCATAGCTTCACTGAACAATTCATTAGTTGTAAATGTAACAACACATATAAATAGAAACCACGCCAATCAAAATATATTGGTAAGATCAGAAAATCAATAATCAGGAATTACTTTTCTTCTTTTTATCCGTTTATTGGGTATTTCATCTTCTGGCTTTCTTGTCACACTATTACTTACTTCATTTGCTTTTGGGGTCTTATTATTGCAAGGCTGGCTTGCTTTTGTTGATTTACTGTCACATGTCTGATCCAATTTTGTGTTACTACTGCATTTCTGATCTTGCTTTCTTCTCATGATGATACATGTCCGTGTTGTTTTTGTTGTCGTACTGTCACATGACTGATCTGGTTTAGCTGTCTTACTGTCAGATGCTTGAGGTAATTGTGTTATGTTACTATTACATACCTGATCAGAGTTTCCTGTCTTGCTGTCACATAACTGATCTGATTTTTCTGTCTTTTTGTCACATGTCTGACCTGACTTTCCTGTCTTACTGCCATATGTCTGATCTGGTTTTGCTGTTCTACTGTTGCTTGCTGTTTCTACCTTTGGTGCCCTCAAATCAGATGTTTGATCTCCAGGTTTTGCAATAACAACTTTAGCTACATTTTTACTGCCTATCTCTGTGATAAGTGAATTCAAGAGGGCAAGGTTCTCCTGGTGGTGACGTTCCCACATACTCGTCATTGTCTCCAGTTGATTCATCATCTGAGTTTGCATTTCTGCTTGCATCTGAGCCATCTTGCTGATGCTATCCCCAACAAGTGCCATACCTGTATCTTGTCTCGTATCTGCCGCCTTACTCAGTCGTCGATTTTCTCTTGATATGTCTCTTAGTAAAACTATTAAAAGAAAATGAGAATATGAATAAACAAAGGATTAACTATTTACTTTACTATATTTTTATCTCATACTCATTTTTTAAATACATACAGTACTTTATGATTTTCAAATTACCAACTACTTTAAATTTCTGTGCCTTTTTCCTTCTATAACACAGGCAATAACAAATTTACATGCAATATTCGATTTATAGATTCAAACTTAAAATTACACTGAAAATCCGAATAATTATTATTGTAATTTCTCCAAATTTAATGACCTATAATTCACTTACCTAATGCATTATCCAGCTTATTCTCAAACTTGCTTATAAGTTCTGCTTGGTGCTTGATAGTTTCTTGGGCTGTGTCAATGTCATCAACATTTTCCAAATGAATGCCAACTGTATTTGCCTCTCTAGTTTGCCTATTTTGAACATTCTGGAGAGGATAAAGTACCTGAGGTAGTGAAATATTTTAACACAATGACAAGAAGAATATACTTGATTTTAAAAACACGACTCAAGTTTTCATATTAACAACAATAAAATGTTATTTACAAATACTGTCAGCAAAGTAGCTATAAACAAAATATTTGCAATACACCTAATTCTGAAAATAGTTACCAATTTACTGGGAGATTTTGAAATAAAATTTGATTTGTCACCAATCTTCACAGAAGGAGCCACATCATTGTTAGATCCTCTTTGGGATTTTGACTTGGCAGTAATCCTCAAAGAAGGAACCATGTCATCTGTCGATTCTGACTCAGTTTTTGATTTGGAAGGGATTTTATCATCAACACTTGTATTTAAAGGATCTTGGGAATCATTTAGGTCATCCTCTTCAAATTCTGCGGCACCTTCGTCAGTCTCCTCATTTGGAGGAACACTGTAACTATTGGACCCATCCCAACTACCATTATCATCTTTTCCACTGTCCTTACTTGTAGACACAAACTTCCGAATTGTATCAAGGGAAGGACGAATTTTCTTTTTTTCACAAGAGTTGACATATGGTATAATTAGATGGTAGTAATCAGGCACAGGTCTGGAGTGAGTATAATTGTGGGCTAGAGCCCATTTATCCAATTGTTCATAAGACCGACACTGGTTAACAAGGTTGCGCCATTTCTGATTGCATCGTTTCATTGTCACACCATCTTGCTGTTATGAATAAACAAACAGATAATTATAATTACATGTGATCCATCCCACCTTGCCAAGACTGGAATATGGCTGACAGAAATAGATATACAGTATAAAGAACTGAACAATAAAATGCTCTAGTCCCTAATATAATGTGAATGCTACACAAATCTCCAGTAACTGGAAAGTATGATGTTCAAGTCTCTTAATACATTGTGAATCATCAACACCAATATAAAATTCGTAAACAGCAATGTAATACATAAATGGGAACCTTTTTGATCTGCTATTGTATTTATATAAGTAATATTTGAACAAAGTCATTTGACTACAGTGACAGTAGAAAGTCGATTTAAAGCGATACCCACAATTAAGGACAATGTTTTAATTTCAAGCGAATCTTTCCTATTTTGAGCGAGTCAATCTGGAACGTCCTATTTTAAATTTTGTGCCTAATGTTTCCCACCAGACGAGTCTCTGGGCACACTACGTGGCTACCTGCCACCCTCTCTCACCCTCACGCATCCTCAGTTCTCGCGCTGACGCTCTAGTGAACGGACATACTGTGTGACCCTATCTCCTTCTATCACGTGCATCAACCATGGCCACAATGTCCAAGAGGCCAGCTACTACATCATTAACTACCCCAAAGGCCAAGAAATCAAGGGAAGATATTACACTGGAGCAGAAAAACAAGGTGTTGGAAGCACTGCAGCGTGGAAATGGTGCTTCCCGAGTGTCAGATGCGTCCACAGCCACACCACTAGACAGTGATGTGGATGATGAGCTGGTCGAGTTGGGCTCTGCATCTTCAGAGGACGAATTGCCAAACTAAAGTTGAGTGAAAATCTATTTTTGATAGCATAACGTAATTAAAAACCAAGTTGAGAGGAAAGTGAGAGTGCTTGGTGAGTCAGACAAGAGGCAGGCGGAGCGCGGCGTCAGCATAACCACCCTCTCACATAGCTAATGAGATTAGCTTTACCTCTCAATAGAGACTTATGTTTTTTGTTAAACTGAGTGTTAACTGTGTTGAGAGGATTATTTATGAACTTAGAATATGTTGCAACATCACATAAAAGGTCATAAATCAGTGTATTCACTCCCAGTAAACACTGCTCCCTACACTGTCACTATGTTGAAATGAACTGTAGTTTGAGCTGATCCCCATCTAAGTTATTATATGTCTTATTTGTGTCACTTGTATATTATTTGTAATTCGTAACCCATTCCCCAAATATGTAACTGTATATTTTCAGCCTTCTGGCTGCCAAGCTCTTTCATTAAACCGTTAATTATTATTATTATTATTATTATTATTATCATTTTAGAGTCTGTACCCACCCCTGAAGATGTGAATTACACGAAAGCGCTTGGGAACTTCGTGTTTTCTTCTTTCCTTGTGGTTATCAGCATATATATATATATATATATATATATATATATATATATATATATATATATATATATATATATTATATATATATATATATATATATATATATATATATATATATATATATATATATATATATATATATATATATATATATATATATATATATATATATATATATATATATATATATATATATATATATATATATATATATATATATATATATATGCAAAAGTTTGCATTTTACAAACAGCGTTCCCCTATTCACCAATCGCGTTGCAACTAATTTGCATTAATAAAAACACACGTTGTAGCAGAAATAACTGTAACTGGTATGAGGGCTGTGATGTAATTCAAGATGGTGGCCAGCATTCAGCTGGCCGGATCTCGCATTCAGCTGGCTGGATCTCGCGTTCAGTTGGCTAGATCTCGCAAAATTCACAATATTTTACGCCAAATATAAGACTTGGTTACATTAGGTAGTGCTCGCGAAATTAAAAAATGCGAAATGAAATCGCGCGAAATATGAGATCTTACTGTACATCAGACACCCTACGAAGTCCAACCCTATTGCTACCAAACCTATTTTACTTACCTAATCTAAGTTAACCCACTTCTACCTACTTAACCCAACAATAAGAGTGAATTCATATGTCAAAGACTGGGAGTCCAAGGAATTACTAAATATGACAATGCAAATAACTTACAAGGACTGACAGATGGAGTGCAATCTTTTTCCAGGTATTTCTTCTATTCTCACGTGGGTTGGTGTCTATTACCAGGTGAACCAATCGCTCTACTGTTGCAGGCAAAAACTGGAAATTGTCATTTTCATTTCTGTCGTCCAAGCGATCTGAATGCAAAATTTTTTTTTTTTACAAATATACGAGAGTAAAAGTTAAATAGGGGTCTTATTTCTGGATTTATCTGTTAACTTTTTAATATAAATATGACCTTTTACCAAATTAACTTAAACAAAATCCAGAAATAATCAAATAAAAGCCTGAAAAGTACTTTAGACAGCAAGTGTTGGAAATTTGGGAAAAGCAACTCTTGTCAGTATACAGTAACGAAATATCTTAACAAGATACTGTACCTTCAATCCACTTATTCTTGGGAGAACACTGAAGTTCATGTGTGACCAGCTCTTTCTTATTCCCAAGCAAAAGATGACACAAGGAACATCTCTCAATTCTGAAACACAAAAATTGCACGTCAAAAATACCGGTAATCATGACTAACTTTTTTCTTTTTTTTCACTCAAGATTTTTCTCACTACAGTATAATACAAGATGGCAAAAATCAAGAGCAAAGACATAAACAGACTCTTCCTTCTTTCAATATCACTCAATCTTCCTTACTGTTGTTAAATATATGTTCTACTATGGTACTTCCCTTCCACACCAAGACCCTTCCCCAAAAATCACCCATGTCATTCTCTCTCTGGTCACACACGCACGCACTCACTCATACATTACCACTTCATAACTGTCCATCTGCCTCTTGCATTTTTAACCTATCCTTCACCAGTCTTCTATCTCATTCTTGATCTTCCTCCAACAATCCACCTCTCAATTAAACACTTAATACCAATCTTTTGTTTCCCATTTCCTTCGTGTCCATACTACCTGAGCAAATGTTGATCCACTCTCTACCAGACACTTCTGTAAAAAATCTATCTTTTTTTTATCCAAAACCTAACCTACAATATAATGCAGTAAACAGTATTATTCCATTTTTGTAGTGTAGAGTACAAGAGATCCTCCTTCAGATATCACAGTGACGTCAGAGAACAAGAGTGTACAACAACCAAGTAGGGTCACTGACTACTAATGCTACCAACACTACCGAAGTCACCTCTGGTTGTCCATATCCAAACACCATTCACCATTAATTTTGTCAACTTAAGAGTAGATATTTTGAAGGGAAATTATATTTCCTGTCTTCTTCCCAGTATTTTACGGAAATGATAATTAAAATACAGTAATTAAAAAAACATCAAAGTATATAAATGAGACAACACTATTATCATTTGCTCTAAACATGACAAAAAACATTAAATCTAGATAATAGAAATTTGATTGTGTGCCATTAATGACAATGAGAGGAGATGCACAGCTTTACAACTTTAAGTACCAAAATATACATTACCCTTGTATAATAGTTTCCTTTCTTTGTTTAATCAATTCCAAAAAACTCTCATCGATCCCAAACTCTTGAGCAATTTCTGTGGGACTTGCATTTCCTTGCTCTAATTGGTTCAAAATGGAGAGGACAACATCCTTACGCATCATTGTATTCCCTACATCAACAACGTCAATGCATTTTCGCTCTTGTTTACCACTGTCTACAACATACTCTACATCAGCTTCCACCTGAAAAAAAAAGTTCAAAATTTACTAAAGGGGAAAATTCTCTGAATAATGAACTAAATGCATAACAGCTCACCATGAACTGCTGAGTCTCATCCCCCTAAAACAAGGCCTCTGTATATTTTTTATATGTCCAATACACTTTCAGGAAACTGTAGTTTTCTACATCTTTTTCCACTCAACTTGTTTTAAAACATATTTCTCCTTTATCCATCTTCCCAAACAATCTAACAGTTTGTCAAGAACCACTTTAGTAATAGATCTTGCTACATCCAATTCCTAACTCTGCCTCTAATTATTTATAAAGAAATATGTATATCAAGCCAACTACAAATTCTGCTGTTATTTAACTAATTTTGTGAAAATCCAGTCTTTGCTATCACACTCCACCAAGCTTGGCTGGTATCACATTTTTCCTTTTCATGATTTTCCATCCAACTCCAACATTACGTCTGTCTTTCAATACTCTTCCTGAGACTCCTTGATTGTGACAATGACCACGTTTATTTTCTCTGGTATTCTTGGTCAAGCTTCTTCTCTTACATATGCCCCCAAACATCATCTTCATTGTTAGTGAACATTTTGATACAGTACTTCCACTAGTTTCATTAATGAACCATCAGCATGTCTCAATATTACTCACTCACACTCCCTTCAGAAGCTTTTTAACTCCTCATTATCATTTTATCTCATCACAGCAGTTGCATAAAACCAGAAAAAGAAGTCTACCCTCCCTTGCTCATCAATGCAAACCCAGGATGCCAGCACAGAAATGCAGCAGAGACAGGGGGAGGGGCACAGTTTTGTTGACCTGGTTGCCATCAGCACGCTGAAGCAAAGTTTTAAGGCTGGATCACCTTCCCAATGCCTACCTACAGGGTGGGAACAGCACAAGGTAAGGTTGGGTTGCAACTCCCCAAGGTAATCAAAGACTACCGGTATATCTTCTCTTTTAATCACTTATACTTTGTTAATATAGTACTGTACTGTATCTCACTTTCTAAAATCATCTGTTTTAGCCAACTGTATTTTATTTACTCGTTTTCCATAGCCACATTTCATTTATTTGCTTTGGAGGATGAAGGCTGAATAACTTCCACTAAGTTTATCCTCAACTATTAACTAGCATATTTTGGAACAGTGTTTCTCAACTAGTGGGATGCAGTTTAAAAATAATTACAGTATGTACGGTATACTAAGGTCAGGGTATATCGTGACTTTATAAAACAATTTTTTTGTATTGCAGTTACCAAAATTATTGACATTTTCCTATATTTAGCAATAATTTTTTTATTTCGCGAGGGAAATCGGGCAGGAAATATTTCAAATGTACCCCATGGCAAACAAATGCATTATTTGCTGACCAGAGGCGCCACTGTGGCTGCTCACTCACGCAATCACGCTTGCCCGCTCAGTATGTGAGTGAGTGACGAGAAAGCAGCCAACTGCTGCAGATTACGACTTCTAAGGTGAGTGTAAATGGGTTTCTAGTGACGTGTGAAGTGAAGATAATGGAATGCTTTATGGAAAAGATTTAACACTGAAACTAATATTTTTGGTTTGTTCATTTATGTTCATTAAGTGAGGGTGGCAGTGTGTCGTCTGTTGTTCTCGAGATGATGCGTCGGCTGCCGAGTCCGGTGCAGATTCCAATTTCTAAAGCGAGTGTAAATGGGTTGCTAGTGACGTGAAATGTGAAGTGAAGAAAATGGAAAGCTTTAATGGAAAAAAATTTAATACAGTGGTCCCTCGGTTAACGAGTTACCTTCCATAAGATTCTTAACTTCGGTTACCTAGCAATCCCTCGATTAACGAGTGTTTTACGAGCCGACCTCCACATGTATTAGCTTGCATTTGGTGGTCCACCAGCTGTAGTATTAGTCCACCAATACAGTAATCGGTTCTAGGGCTTAAATTCCTTACCCTTTAAGTAAATATCAAGAAGTTTATACTATTCAATAATTTTAAAAGTTTAATATTAAATTTTTTAGTCATTTTAACAATTATTGAACATAATTGAAGGTAGGGTCACTAGTTTGTGGCACGCCATCCAGCCTGCCAACACAGCATACAGGCGTCAGTCTTTTTGTCTTTTCAGTGAAGGTAACATCTTGCTTGAGACTCTCTTCAACTAAACGCTTTTTTTCTGTGTTTACAAGCAAATTATTGGTCATTTTGAAGTTTATTTTACATATTGACAATATATAATGCAGTGCAGCGTTGATTTAAAGAAAATAATCTTGAATTACACCAAGAGAACTAAAAAATTTTGGGTGAAATGGCACCATGGGGTGACTTCTCTTCCACCCCAATGCCTTCTCTTCTCCCTTCTCCTCCACCCCCATTCTAATTCCCATCATCATCCAGGAGCCTTCTACATACACACCTCAAAGTAAGTGTACCTTTCTACCTTTTTTGTTGAATTTAGGCAATTTTCGGTGAGCTGGAACCAATTCCCAAAAACCCATTGAAACAATGGTTTCGGTTAACGAGTTTTTCGGTTAACGAGCAACCTTCTAGAACGGATTATGCTCGTTAACCGAGGGACCACTGTACTGTAACTTATATTTTTGGTGTTTGTGTATGTAGGTGTGGGATTGTCAAGTGAGAGTGACAGTGTAGGCTTGTACAATGTATCCCCCAAACACTGAACAAGCCTTCATGGCAATTTACTAAACCATTGTGGCTTTATGCTCTTGCTGGCATCCTCTCATTACCCACACACCAACCTGACAACAGTTGAAAATATCTTATCCCCACGGCTCCCCAGCACAAAGGATGAAATATGACGCAAGTTTCAAGGTGAAAGTTGTTGAGTTTGCAAACTCTCCAAACAACAGTGCTGCAGCGGATGACAGTTTAAGTCTAAGCCATGCTGCTGTGCTGCCGACAGTGTAACGGACCCAGTTTGTTTACAACAGCTGATGCAAATGGCGGATCGTAAGCCAGGTGTACCATAATGTTCTACTACCATACCGTTTGTAGATTGTACTATCAAGGTGCTATACTGGTATGCTGTGTAAACAATTACTATTTTATTAGAGATGCTGATTTTGGCTTGGTGTTTACCAGAGTTCTTACGAAGATAACTTACTGAAGATTTTTAGCGGATGCTTGCTGTCCTATGTAGATCCTGTTGTATGATATATATACTGTATATATATATACAGTCAACCCTCACTTAACGTGGTTAATGTAACCCACAGGATACCGGAAAGTGAGAAAAGTGAGAAATGCGTAAAGTGAATAACATAACATATGGGATTAAATGAAATAAGAGACCAGCTGACCCCCAAACTCCACTTTTTCCAACACAATACCTATGTTCTAGTAAAAATAACATCTTAATTTTATGATGGTACACGCACACAATTAATACTTAAGAGAAATAGAGAAATACAGTCGCCAAGTTAATGTCCATTCAAATAATGGACTCAACTCCCTCCCCCTCTTCTCACACTACACTCCCTGGCTCTTCCCTCTCTGAGAAATTTTTTGGGGAAAACCAGGTATAGTAATAAATAATACCTCAAACTAAAGTTAGGATAATATAATTGACATTGCTGGATTCCTTGTAAGACCAGGAATATTTTGAATACAAATGTCATATATTTTGCACAAAAGATAACATATTTACTCAGAGTAAATATTATATCTAAAATTTGTATGTCTAATGCAAAATCTATGATGTTTATCAAAATGATCATCAAATTGTAAGAATTCCAGCAATGTAAATTATATTCTGGCCGGGTAATTTGTATGAATTTTATGAGCTAAAACAAATGTCTTCAGTTAATAAAAAAAAAATTCTTCACACCGTGGTGCCAGGTGGTCGGTCGCCGGTCCCTCCCTCCCTCCCGGTCCCCACCAACCCTCCCTACCAGATGAATGTGTGGGAATACCAGACTGTTTACCTTTTTAGTAATAAATAATAAATCAGACTAAAGTTAGGATAATATAATTGACATTGCTGGATTTCTTGTAAGACCAGGAATATTTTGAATATAAATGTCATATATTTTGCACAAAAGATAACATATTTACTCAGAGTAAACATTATATCTAAAATTTGTATGTCTAATGCAAAATCTATGATGTTTATATTCAAAATGATCATCAAATTGTAAGAATTCCAGCAATGTAAATTATATTCTGGCCGGATAATTTGTATGAATTTTATGAGCTAAATAAAACCACCAACAAAAATACCTCACGACACTTCACATACGCGAAAAAAACCCACTGCTAAATGAAAGTTGGTTTCGCAGGCATCACAGAAAATGGAAATCGCGCAAGTTTAAACCGTGTTAAGCGGGTATTACTATACAGTGGCCCCTCCCATTAACGAACTCAACTGCTCCAAAAGGTCGTTCGTTAACCGAAAAATTTTAACGAAACCATTGTTTCAATGGTTTGGGTGTTTGGTTCCAGCTC